GGGGGGGGGGAACCTCTCACTTGATTTATTTGAGGTTATGGTCTTAATGGCTAGTTTCAAGTCTTCATAAACGCAAAATCATGTTCATTCTGTAAGCTATGGTTCCAGTTAGAGCCAAGGAGGAGGATAAAACAGGCTTTTAGAGCATACGAGCGTGTGGTGTCCCTCAGTTTCTCAGCCAGATCAGTTTCTCGCTTGTTGTCTCTAGTTTCAAAATACTGAGGTGGCAATCGTTAAATGGCTCAGCACCAGGGAACTTCCCTAAACGATTGATGACGTCACAGTGGCTACATGCTGCTTTTCCATGCATTTTATGGTCGCATAAAATGTTTGGGGGAAAGTGGGCTTTAACACTAGGCCTGTTGAAATCGTGACTCAGACGTTATTATTCAGTTTTGTCACGATTGTTAATTATTCCTCTGAATCCAGCATTTGTCAGGAAGCTTCAACTTCTGTAGCCCCACGCAGAGTTAGCCTGCTATCTCTCATTAGCCTCCTGCAGTGAGAATAGACAAAGACTTGAGAAACCCATTCAGCAATTTTGAATACATTGTATCCGAAGCACCAGTCAAATCATTTTTCCTGTGGGTGTCAGACACGGAGCTATTGACAACTGTGTCGATTTCAAGAACGTCCCAAGGTGGCAATTTTCCTTTGATTAGCTGCTTCGTTAGCAATCATTCCACTGAAGCCAGTTTTAAAAAGGGGCTCACAATATATCTGACACCACTGTTGCAGTGTATCATCAACTTTTAGGAGGATAAAGAAAATTAAGACTCTTGTCAGATTTCAAAGCTAATTATGTGCCGGGCTCGGCCATACTTATAAACCATGTCACATGGCTACAGCAGTTGTCTGCATCTTGAGAGAAAAGCGTTCTTACTCTGCTCTAGTAACTGCCTAGCTTGATGAGTGTGCAGTCTATCTTCATCAAAGACAATTTCTTTTTTTAATAACAGCCAGACATGAATAAATCACCATTAGGCCTTTTTTTCCCCTCCGGAAGATAATAACCAGTTGCTGCTTCAGTTTGACTTGCCAGTGCATGATGGGCGATGAAAATGCTATTGGTTTGGTGGTCTGCATCCACACACACACACTAGCTCACATCCAGACCAATGAGAAAGAAGGCTGCTTTTATTGGTCCAACTGTACTTTAGCACTGAAATGACCGGTGTTTTATTCAGAGTGTCTGCCAGCAGGAAAAGAGGGCTGGGAGGCAGCCAAGAAAAAAGAAAAAAAAAGCATGGCATTGTAGGGCAGGAGGTAGAATGTGGATCTAATTGGGCATGTATATGTGTTCTAACTCATACGCACGTTCAGGGTCCGGGCCAGTTCACTTTTGAGTTGACCTGATTGAGCGCATAAACAGAACCAGCAGTTAATCTGCCAATGAAAGGTTATTCAGTGCTGTTTTGCAGCCTTAAATGAGAAATTTCCAAGATTAACTCCATTTGTCACCTGAGATTTACCGGTCTCTTTGCACAACCACACAGTTCTACAACACAAGTCCCATCTGTTTTTATTTTTTCCCAATGGACAATCAGGGGGGAAAACTTTTCTCTTCCTTTCCCATTATTCAACCAAGTAATTTTCCCGAATACTGAATTAAAAGAAAAATATTTACAACTGAACAAACTTTTTTCTTTTTTTGCCTGCAAATCAGCAATGTAGGAGAAGCTCCAGTGCTTCAACTTCAAACGGTCAGGTGGGGGATAACCATAAAGGGAAAGGAGTGTGTTAGCATTAGAAAGCATGGCAAACCTTTGGGTTAAAAGAGCACGTATGCACATAAATACAACTGATTTGCTGGGAGAAATGGAAAGAGGGATAGGGTAAAGGAACACTTCAGAAAAGGGAGTCAAAGACAGGAGAGGAGTTGAGGAAAAAGACAGACAAGGAAAGCGAGCAGGACAAAATTCTCTTTGTAAATTCTCATCTGGGTCTGGATCTGTTTACCACCACAGACCTACAACCTTCCACAAGTTCACCCTGAGCAATCTGCTTAATCTACATTCCCCTTCAAAGTGACTTCCAGAAAACAGGCAACCCCACCTCTCAGCAGGGTGGCAGGCCCTTAAAACTAACCTCGTTCTTTCCCCGTCCTTGATTAGTGTGATGTTTTACTGCGTGCGTTTTGTGTGTGTTACTCCTAACAAGTCTTGCGCTGTAATGCATAAAAGCGTGCGAGAGAGTTTGTGTGGCCAATTCCCTAGCAGTAAACAGGCTGGAGGGCAACGGGTCCTCCCTGATGAGGGATTAGACCAGGCTTTTTAATTACAGTTTCACAGTCACAGGAGTAAGAGCTCCACACAGCTCCTCACCACTGCTCTGGAAGCCTCCAGCTACAGCAGCTGACTGTAGCCACAAAGGCGTATATCTGAATCCCCCCGCAAAGATTTTGCAATACAACCCTATCTCTGAACGCCTTAAAATGTAGAAGCAAAAACTGAATTTTCAATCCCAGCATTATTCTGATGATGCTGTTTGGTCAAATCCAATACAACAATGAATTCAGGCTTTAGCAGAATAATGATACCGCCTGAAAAGGTTTCACAGCTCTGAGATCTTCAGCAAGGTAGCAAATGATTTTGTCCTGGTTTACATGTTAAACAAACACCAAATTTACTTTGATTTCAAGAAACCTAAAACAATTTCACTGATATTAAAATTCCCCAACCTTATAATTTAAAGCGTACAGTTTCAGGAAAATGTTTGTGAACACTTCACTGTGTTTCTTGATAAATATCACCTAAAACGTCATTAGATTTTCACAAAAGTCCTAAAATTAGATATAGATAAAAACTAGACTTGGACATTTATTTATTAAGGAAAATGGACTGCATTAGTCAAAACTCTTTAGAGAGAACGCATAATGAGTTGCTGTTTTTGTGCAGGACCCACTAATCTGATGTGTTTGTGCCATTATTTGCTTTCTCAGACGTTATTGTGAAGGTCCGACTTTGATTGATCCTTTTTCCAAACTCACTGATTCAAAGAGTCTGATTCTAATGTCGCCTCCATATTTACTGCTAAGGCCACAGACTGTCAAGCTTTTGCTTGCAGCTGTATATCAAAGTTATAAATTATAGACTTTCTTATAATTTATGATTCCACCAAGGAATACTGAGACACTACATAAAACAAAGACAGAGAAAAACTATGCAAAAGAGAGTATTGCTAGGGACAGATCAACCGAGGTGGAAGCAGCAAGCAGTGGCTTAAGTGAGAGGTCGCTTTTAGCTTGTGATGATGCAGAGTTGTGTTGCACGCTGCTGCTATAGCCTGTATGGGCACACAAATAATGGCGGCGTGATGGGAAAAGCTATACTGGTACAAAAGTCAACTCACCTTCACGTTAGCTGATATACCCTTACAGAAAAACAAAAGAACACAGTAAAGGACGAATCAACAAAGGAGCTTTTGAGGAGCACAAAACTGATAGAACATCAGGGGAATTTGCTCATAATAATAATAATAATAACAATAACAAATAAAAGAAAGAAAATGAAGAAAATAAAGCCATGAGAAGGAGATGAAACCACTTTGGGCTGTAGGATTATGGGATTTATAGTTCTTAAGAATGGAAGTCTGGGAGTGGAGATACGGTACCAAGCAGTAATCCATAAGCATAATTTGAGCAATACTGAAATGGATCAAAGGGACTTTGGGGAGTTTTGCTACTATGAGGTTATTGGGATCAATGTGCCAAAACAATGCCGCTGCTTTGAAGAGTCCTACTCGTGTGATAGTACGCAGAAAAAGTATGGCTTACCAGTGTTATGCACAGCTTTATTTTAGAAAACATTTTAAAGTTTCAAATTTTAACTGGATCACTCCTTTAAGTTAATATATCTGTGGGGGACAAAAATGATTTGATCCCCTGCTGAATTTATAAGTTTGGTCACTTGCAAAGAAATGAACAGAAATTTGCTCCATTTAAATGCTAGAAATGCACCAGTTCAACAGCGTATCAAATAATTTGCCCCCCTGTATAACTGACCTTTCTTTTTAATCATGTCATCACTATTTTTTTTTTTTTTTAGGATCAGCATCAGCCCCTGCCTATGCACTGTGACCATGCTGTGTGTGCAGCTTTGCGTCTTACCTTGGTTTCTGTGCGCCGTGTGGTTCCATCATCAGAGGTGACCACTGAGACGTGGGAGGTGGGGGTGCCGGGGTCTTCTTCAATGGTGACCGTCTCCTCCACCACCTCCTGCGGCTCTTGCATCATGGCCAGGGATGTGGCGTTACTGGGGCTCTGCTCCTGTGCAGAGAGAAGTAAAAAAGAGAATCTGAGAAAAACTGAACTGAAATAACCGACAGATTTAAAAAAATAAAATAAAAATCAGCTGTTAAGATAGAGTGGAGAAAAACAGAACAGCATCCAGGTAATCATCCATTAGACATACGACAAGATGAAACTTTAATTGGGCCACAGCAGCAACAAATGACATTAGAATCCAGCAGAGAGAAGCAGAGCATAAATAAGAACATTGCAAATGAAGTGTATTAAATATAATGCCACCTGCAATTTGCAATGCAACACTCGAACATCAAGTAGATGGAAAGTGTGAAGCGCATGGCGTGAATAATAATGTGTAGAAAATAACCGCTTTAAAATACACGGATATGAATAATAAGTGTTTACGATTTCCAAACACGATGCGGTATGAAAAAAAAGGGCTGCAGAAAATATTCATGAAAATGACTGAAATATGAAAATGTAACTGTATTGTATGGATATAATTAAAAATAACATACTGCCGTTTTCACAACGACAGTGACTCAGTGTGTCAAACGTATTCAGTCTGTCCCTGCTTGTGTATAGGTCATGGAAATGTACATACACTGTCAAAGATTTAAAAAAGCACTTTAAAAACACAAATGCACAACTGGTTCACTCAAAAAAGGACGTAGCTGAATTTGAAATGTTCACGTTATTGTCACTGTAACAGCAGCAGATTTAGGATAGGGAACATCAGACATGCACTGATTCAGTAATTGAATTGGATAGTGGTTGGACAGTGACTCAGAAAGCTAGACTGGACATCGATGACAATGGGCCAATCGATTGGATTCGGTCTTGCTCTGTGTTTACTATGCCACGTGTCAGCAGCAGCGCAGTGATTGTTAGAACAAAACCTAACATAGCACGGAGGAAGATAACAACAACTTGTCAGCAGATTGGAGGTATTCCACACGTCTTGCTTGTGGCAGGTAAGTTTGTGACTTAAACTGTGGCCAGGTGTCTTCATTCGACTGAAAAACTGTTGACAACTCTTTCCCTCTCTCCCAACTCTCTCTGTCACAGTGCTCTGCAAAAGCCTTGAGCCATTCCTTGGTTCTTTATATTTTGCTAGGAAAATGGGTGAAACTATTTCTTCAAATGTGGAAAACTTAAATTGAAATACAGTAAAAAAGAAAAAAAAAGAAAAAGCAGAGTTAATACAGTTCTAACAGGTTTAAAATCAATATTTGGAGTGACCAGCTTTGCTCTTCAACACAGATTGAACTCTTTTAGACACGCTTTCTTATCATTTCTTTAAGTAGTCTTCAGGAATATTTCTCTAGGCTTCTTGTTTCTACCTTGAGCTCTGATCCCGGTCAAGATAATCTCACACTGCTTCATCAATGCTGAGGTCTGGTCTCTGAGGAGGCCAATGACGATTTAAAATCTGATGGTACTTTTCTACATTCATATTTCCATCACTTCTGACAGGATCCCCACAGCCACTCACAGAACTACAGCATGAAACCACGACAGAGCCTCTACCATGTTTTATTAATGGCAAAAGACACCACTGTTAAACCTCTCTCCTGATCTCCCCAATTCATAGTGACATTGATTTGAATCAGAAATTTCAAATTTGGATTTAACACTACAAAATACCTGATGCCACTAATTTTCAGTCTAGTTATTATATAATTTGATGTACCTCGGTCTTTACTTCCTGTTTCCCTTTAACTGAGTTTCAGATGAGGCTTCAGTGAACAGTAGATGGATCAGATGAAAAGGAGCTTTGCAAGGCATCATTACATCATTCATTGACAATAAAAGGGTTTAACAACAAGCAAATACATATCTACTTCAGGTTTTCTGTCAAAATACCTTATTCCACATATTAACTACAATATAGCTTTCCCATTACCTCCTGTATTTACTGAACTGATCCATTCTACACTCAGAAAAAGTGAATTCTCCATTTTATATATTTCCTGTACTTTTTCTTTCCATTCTGTCTTTACTGGGAGTTCTTTCATTAGCCATTTCCTGGTAACTGCTTTCTTACCAGCTCCCTGGGTAATTACTTCTACAATTTCACTCCAATATGGTTGAATAGCTGGGCAACCCCAGAAGATGTGAAAGTGATCAGCTACCAGTTCTCCACACTGTCTCCAACAACGTCCACGTTTACATTGGACCTTCTGCTTTCATTTTAGTTTCTGAGTAGTAAGAAAAATCGAATCATATTTTTCCAATGCAAATTCCCTCCCGTGACCTGAACTAGATCTATTCAGTTGTGTAATCTTAGATTTGTACGCATCAGTTAGTAGGATGATTAGGCCAGTATTACTTTCATCCCTAGGTTTCATGTTACTGTTAAAATAGGATCTAACCCCCAATATCGGAAGTAGTCTTGCCTTTCCAATCATGTTTGCCCTTAAGTCTTTCAAAACTGTGCATTTCCCCTGCATCTGATGTCCAAACACCTCTGGCTGACCATCGTTTAAAGCGATTATCTTGCTGGGCTGGAGCAAATTCTTTATCATATGCTACCCACCGTAGCTGTTTCATCGGATTTCCTAATTTTAGTTATTCATATTCTTCAAACCAGATATTTAGGGGTGTTCTTGTCCCAGTTTTCTTTCAGTTCTAAATGTGATTTTCTGTCTCCGATTATTGTTTGAAATGGTAAATCTATTTGAGTCATGTCCACCTTACTATTTTGCTTTGTAGGAAGGGTTGCACCAGTAGATTAAATATCTCAATTCTGCAGCTTTAAAATGACTTTGCAGGAAGCTGTAGTGTTGTGCATCTCACTCTGGGCTTCCACATGAATCCTGAGAGCATTCTCTCCACATATTAAATAGTTTCATTGGTGTTTCAACCAGGACTGACCGAGTTGTTTATGTCAACTCTACTACCACTTGACTTGCATAACAAATTCCATCTATGTATACCTTCCTTATAATCAGTAAATCATTTATATCATAGATCTCAGATAATGTTTTGGGAACCTTATAACCCTTCTTCACTGTACATGTCTTCAGATTCATTCTTTTAGTTGTATTAGTAGAGTCAAGAGAGGGCTGCAGCTGTATGTTCCAGTCTCTGCCATACATAAGGGTACCTCTGGTCTCTTCAGTAATCATGTTAAATATTTTCTTAATTAGCATTTGGTCGTTACCTAGTGGTCTGTAAACATGGTTTATGGTCATTGAGTCCAGTTACTAGGATATATAGCCCCTCTTTGTCTAATTAGTTGAAAGGTTTTTTTTATTAGAGATTAATATTGCGACACCTCTTGCATGTCCTGGTTTGTATGATGAGTAATATGTATATCTAAAACCCAGTTGTTTAACTGTTTAATGTTCCATGTTATTTATACGCATCCCTTACCAGAATATTATGACTTGATTTTCCATTTTCATCTTGGTTGCAATTTTTTTCCTTTTGATTGGGCTTTGCAGGGCTTTAACATTTAATTTTACTATATTATATTATATTCCTGGAATTATGTCATATTCCCCTAAGCAAACATGTATAGTATAAACTACAAAAGTGAAGTTCTGAACAGGGAAGGGAATCCTCCAAATGAAGGGCCCCTCCTGGGAGCACAGAGATCCTCTCTGGTTCTGCGTGTGTGCTTCCCTACTCTCAAGTTGCTCCATATTATACTTAGATTAAACCACATTTATTATCAAAATGTCTTCCCAAGTGTGACCTAGTGATTTGGAGAGCGGCATTTCTGATTCTAAATTGTCCTGATAAACAGTTACTTGTGTCTCTACTCCGTAACTTTTCCATAAGTTGTTTACTCACGAATGGCCCTTAATTTTTGGCCTTTAATCCTCCTTTGTTGTTGCTCTGTTATATGTAATGGGATTGTCAACATAGACCCGAAACCTTGCTGGGGCTCGTGTCTTGCACAGTTTACGCAGTGGAGCATATTCCCTTCTTTTTTGGATAACTTTGGGTAGCCATGGTCAAAAGAAAAATCTTGCAGCAGTCTTGTATCCCCAGGTCGATGTCCGAGAGCAAAAGTTTGGTCTTAATAAAGTTCTTCAAGGACTCAGTTGGGTTTCCACGTTATTGTCCTAACATAAGTTGTTTCTTCAGGACTGCGTCCCAAAGTCAGTTAACAGCGAACACCATTGTGGCATGTGCGTTATCTTTACTTCTTTCTCCATTTCTTTCCTTTTCTGTGGTCTTTACTATCTTTGCTCTTTATTTTCCCATAGGTCTTTAAATAAACGTGATGTTCTAGACAGGAAAAAAGGGGAAACGATAGACCTTTGCTGAGAGTTCACATAATATGCTGCTGTTCATTTTGCTGCCACTTCCCCTTTAGTCCTGTACACCATGCTGAGTAATAACGGCTCTTTGGGAATCACCTTGTTGGTACAAAAATATAATTTTATTCCTGTCTAACTGTGTTATCTTTGGCATTTTCGTAGATTCAACTATGATCAAATGATCTGTTTTTGCAACAGGCTGCTAGTAACAAAGTGCCTAAAGACACAATTTAGTGTTCTTTGCCAAGTTGTCTGTTATGCGTAAACACAATACTGAGTCATCGCTTGAGTTAGGCAGAATGATGATGCTTGAATGATTCACTGATCAGTGTTAATTGGCTTGACAAACAAACAAATCCTCTGAAAACGGTCAGGTACAAGAACAAGAACAAGACTGAAAATTAGTGAAATAAGCAGCCAAAGGAAAACGTTAAAAACCTTCAGAAAGCCTGAGGAAATATTGGTCAAGACCACTCTGAAAACTTTAATAAAAGTCTGGCTCCATGGAGCAGAATATAAAAAAAAGACAGGCAGCTCAAAAACCATATGCTTATGATACCATGTGTAACCACGGTAACTTCTGACCCCACTTCCGCCAGTCCCTTTATTGTGGCGGGAATGAATCCTGTATAAGTTCCGGGTCAATCAGCTGCATGTCCCTGCTCCTCTGGCTGCTGTTGTCCCTGTGGTTGGCGTACTTGTCAGATATCGACAAATTTTGCACTACAGGCCAGTTGACAGCGTGCA